AGATAGATAGATAGATAGATAGATAGATAGATAGATAGATAGATAGATAGATAGATAGATAGATAGATAGATAGATAGATAGATAGATAGATAGAGATAGATAGATAGATAGATGACAGACAGATAAGCAGATAGATACAGCAACAAGAAAGTCATCAATTTGAGTTAAAGCAATAAAGCAGTAGTGAGCAACAAGGAACAAGCATTTCTGAAAAAAGAAAAGAGTTTACAGTGAAACATTGAGGCATTGATAGAAGAACAATGTTCTGCATACTTACATTTGTAACTAGCAACAGTAATTTTCAACAGCAATTACTTCTTTGACTTCTATCTTATAGCCGACAATGAACAAGAGCTCAGGGAACAAAAAGGTACAATCTAATAGAGTTGTTCTCAGGATAGAACATTTTGCCACCTCAACCTTGTAAATTGGCAAGGGCAATTGCATTCCTCTTTACATTACAGCATGGAATCCCATGTAAGAAACTTAGTAATAGGTAGTTGCACTAAGAAAAACCAGCCTAGTAATAATGAGAAAAAAAAGAAAATGACAAACACATGCCAGAATACTTAGACTTTGTTAGCCAGGGCGGTAGAAAGATGGGGAGATTTTAGAATTATAAGAAAAAAGGAAGATGCTTGTGTCAAAACAAAGAAATCAAAATTGCTATTTGAAGCTGTGAGAGAAAATAATGCAATTGCTTTGTGAACATAAACACTGTTAAAATAGAGATGTTTATCAGCAATCGGAAACTGCATATAAAGTTCATATTTATTATTTTTAAAGTAAAAAAATAAAATGGAACGGGGGAAGACAAAGGCTAGAAAAGTTAGATGATATGGGAGATTGTGTGTGTGTGTGTGTGTGTGTGTGTGTGTGTGTGTACGTGTGCATTGGTGGTGGTGCTAAGGAGCAAATTTAGGGCCTTGCACTTGCTAGATAAACTAAATCCCCACCCCAACAAGGGAGTTTTTTATAAGACTAATTTTGGACTTGTTTGGTTGATTTTGTCTGATTTTTTTATGAGACAACAATTCTCAAAGAAAAAACTGTCTCAATATAATAATAAAGATGGAACTAAATGAACTAAGAACTTAAACCTAGGGTAGTAAGAAATTGGAAGCAAAGAAAGTTGGGACAGTCTTCAGACCTATCATCTTAGCCACTTAGGAAACAGAGATTAGAAATACAGCCTCCCTAGGCCAGCCTAGATTTCATGTATAGAGAGATAAATAATTAATATATGATTATAATTTAATATATAATATATTACTATATAAATTAATATACATATACATGTATACACTAAGAAACCTATGTACACACCTTCTCAAACAAAAGGCCAAGCATACTAGCATACACCTTTGATCCCATCTTTGATCCCATCTGTGAGACATGTTGTAAGTGAAGGGTCATAGTCTAAAGCCAACTCTAAGGACAAGTAATGTAAGAATTTATCTGAAACACAATTAAAGTCAAAAAAAAGGATTTGGGATATAATAAAGTATGTATGTAGCTAGCACAGGCCCTGAGTTCAAACTCCAGTGCTAAGGAGACAGAGGAGGAGAAGAGAAGAAGAAAGGAAGAGGAAGATGAAGGAAGAAATAGAAGGAGAGAGAGAGGGAAGAAAGGGAAGGAGGAAGGAAGAAGGGAAGGAGAGGGGGAAGGAAGGAAGAAAGGGAATGAGGAAGGAAGGGAGAAAAGGAGGGAAGGGGAGAGAGGGAAGAAGGAAGGAAGGAGTAATTTAGAAGCTAAGTCTGGAGGAGATAGTGAAATTCTATGAGACCATGAAAAGCAATGCCACACACTAAAAAAATTAAAAATATTGACAGTGAAAATAGTAAAATTGTTAAAAATGGAATACAGAACATTTACACACCTAAGATCAAGCTTTAAAACATGTACAGCAAAAAGTTGAGAAGAAATCAATAAATGCTCATAGGGACATCCACTTTGAAATCTCTTTGGCCTTAACTTTCAAAGTTGGAGCACAACATGCATGCTACTCATAAACTGATGTGTTGTATGGCTCCTTCCTAAAATTAAAATAATTGTTGGAAAAGAGTGAGAGCCAGCAACTCCATTCCTAATCACAATAGTTATCAAGCAATAGGAACAGCCATACAAGTGCGACTCCAGGAGACCTCAGCCCATAGCACCAGAGGTTGTAGCCGAGGGGGCACTAGGCTTTGGTCCCCAAGGTTCCAGAGGATAATCAGAGACTCCCAAGGAATAATGAGAAGAGCTTTTCAGCAATGACTCCACAGCACTCCCCAGGAAAAAAAAAAAAGCAGCTGAAAAGAAAATGGATGAATAAAATAGTCAGTTCATACACAGAATATTCAAGAATCATGAAAATGAAATGCAACAAAGGCAGCATCTCACTAACAAGTCAGAGGGAAGCACGGGAAAGAATACACACATTCATTTTCAATAGATTAAACTATTGTATAGGGAAATAGAAATATACAGTAAGACTATACCATCTTCAGGTAAATGGCTCTCAAGGACAGAGAAAAGAAGTTCTAGAGCAGTGGGGATGCCCGTAATAATTATTTGTATAACTCAGTCCAATATGTTTCATGCACTTTTCTTTATTACCTTAAGTTTTGTGATGAAAAAAATTCTTGGAGTTCTCCAGAGCAATAAGTTTACAGCTGAAACATGATAACACAAATCACGTGGGGAATGCTGAGCTAAGCTGTGAAGCAATAGAAAGGCAAGTGATTGAAGGAGGAAACAGCAGGACTAGTATTTATTCAGACTTTTCAGTGCAGGACACAGAGTATTCTGGGTAGAGGTGGACAGCTTCTCACGCCAGAAAGAAATTTCCAAGGCAAGCTTCCCTAAGGGAAAGAGAAATGAGCACCAAGGGAAAAGTAAGTACATAACCTGTATCTGTTCAGTTTGTGCATTTGAGGGATTACCCTCAGATCAGAGCAATTTACTGCTGATTAAAAGGAAATGAGTAGTCCCTATGCTAAGAATTTATTCTAAGGAATTAAGTATAGATTTGCCAAAGTGTTTACTAGAAGGATATTTTAACTTAAATATTATTTAAACAGCAAAATGTTATTTAAGCAACTATGCTATCACCATAAAATAGAATATGTACCTATAGTGTATAAATATAGATTAAAAATATTATCTGCAATATGATCCTATTCAGGGAGACACACAGAATAAAATGAAAAGATAAAATGAATTTAAAGTATCCATTTATACTTTTATTTTCCATCTATATTTTATTTTTATTTTGAAACTTTCTGTAATTAATGTGAATGTCATTTGTAATGAAAGTAATGATATTTAAAAATAGTGCAGAATTACATCTGAATGGTTGAAAAATAGATACTCAGTGGTTAAAAGATGAGATACTTGAAATTCAAAATAAAAATTGAGAGCAGAAAAGTTTTAATCTAGGAATCAGCAAACCCTCAGTATTTAATTTCTTTCATTGCCCTTTTTATAATTCTTACAATGAGATCATATTTTTTCTGTACTTATTCATTTATACTGTACTGATTAATTTGGTAATTATTTAAGCTTCACTTCTTAGACTTTTGATGAACTACCTAGAGTTTATGTTCAAAATGAGACTTCATTTGATTTTAGGCAAGACTTTCTTCTCTAAGAATTCTCAGGTTATGAGAACACCTGATCTGAAGACTAAACTCAAGTAGCATACCTGTAAAACACATCTGTGCTCTGACAAATATAACTGATCATTCACATTGGAATGAGATTGGTTAAGCCAACACATCATTTTTGGTCACTTACCAAAATCTTTAAGTCCTATAAATACATACTCTTTCTTAATGAAGGGGGGAAAAATCAAGTCATTATATCAGAATAAACTTTTAATATAACCATTTGTTAAAAATAATAATTTAATGTAATGACCATAACATCAAATTTGATTTAGATGCAACTGAAGATCCCTTGTCTTCAAAACAATATAATTATATACAACAATCTGCCAAAAACTTCTAAACTGTTCATCAACAAATTACAATAGACGCTTTCCCCTCATGATACTGTATTCCTTTGCCTCTCTCTTCCTCTCTGTGTCTCTCCTTTTCCCCCCACTTCCATTTCTTCTCTCTCTCACTCCTTCATTCCCCTCTCTTTCAGGTTATTAAATGCAAAGCAGCTGTTGTCTGGGAAGCAGGCAAGCCCTTCTCTATTGAAGAAGTTGAAGTAGCTCCCCCCAAGGCTCATGAAGTTCGAATTCAGGTGAGTGAGGACTTTCCCTGGTGGATATACCTATACCCAAAGTGCAGGCTTGATTTCTAACAGTTTATTCTGACCTGGTATGAGTGAGAGGCCTTGGAGTCTCCACCTGTAGTTATAGTATATAACTTGAGTTATATTTATAAGTCCAGATTAAAGTAGACATTATCTCATTTTTTATAATGGGCTTAAAATCTGACAATCAGCAAAGGAAATCACTTTGGCTTAGAACTGGGCTTTTGTTGTTCTTCATTTACCAACTATTAAAAAGTGTTATTAAAGGAACGTAGAAGCTGGACACCTGTGCTTCGCATCTATAACCCTACTCAAAGGCTAAGATCTGAGAATGGTGGTTTGAAGCCAGCCCAGGCAGAAATAGCCTCAAGACTCTTATCTTCAATTAACCACCAAATAAGCTGGACTGGAAGCTTGGCTCAAGTGGTAGATTACCAGCCATACACAAAAAAATGTGAGGAAGAGAATAGGTTCTCAGTTCAAGCCCCGTACCAACACACACACACACACACACACACACACATACACGAACGAAGAGAAAAAGCAGAGCAGTGAAGACAGGTAAGTTCTTCATTGTTGCTCAAGCCATTATAGGTTTGTATGTGAGAATGAATGGAACAACCTTTTTGTCAGATACTAAAGAACAATTACACAAAGATACTCTGATAATTCATTTAGGCAATATTTCCCATTTAACTATAAAAATGGTATTTCCTTAACATTATTTCATGTAGTTTCAACAGAATTTGAACACGCCATGGAACCTATTTTCTCTCTCTGCCTAGTAGATTTTATTCTGCTCTGACTACTTGCATTTTTCCTCTGCTGGAGACAATAACAGCCAATCCTACATCTTAAGTTTTTCAACAATGATAGTTAGAAAACTTGCCCAGAGGGGCTGGGAAGGTGGCCCAGTGGTAGAGTGCTTGCTTTGCATGCATGAGGCCCTGGGTTCGATTCCTCAGCACCACATAAGCAAAAAGCCGGAAGTGGTGCTGTGACTCAAGTGGTAGAGCACTAGTCTTGAGCTGAAGAGCTGAGTGAGGGACAGCGTCCAGGCCCCGAGTTCAGGCCCCACGACCAGACCCCCCCCCAAAAAAAAAGAAAAGAAAAGAAAACTTGCCCAGACTATTTTTATTTGCTCTTTGGGTTTTTTTCTAAATATAATTCTTAAGTTCCAGGGATGCTGTAAAGTTTCAAGATGACATTAGGCCTAAAATTATTGTAACATCTACCTCAACAGTAACTATAGAAATATGACTCAAGTCTGTAATTACTTTGTAGGTAATCGCCACTTCCATCTGCCACACTGATGCCTTTAATATCGATCCTAATTTCAAGAAAGGTGTGTTTCCAGTGATTGTTGGACATGAGTGTGCAGGAATTGTGGAAAGCATTGGGCCAGGAGTGACCAACTTCAAACCAGGTAATTTTACCTTCTGATTCAAACTCAGTGATGATTTCTGGTGGTGTCTTGGCTTTACATGCTATAACTGATCTCTGATAACATAAGAGGACCAATCATCTTTTCCCAAATCAAAAGTGAGACATAGAACCTATAGTTAGCATGAAGATGGGATATTTGAAATTGAAAGTGTCTTATTATACTAAGAAAATTTTCTGTAACACAAAATTTTATGATTAGTTAAAACTGAAGCAACCATAGTTCAGAAACTATATACTTCTGAAACAGAAAAATATTTCAACTACATTAACATTATATAAAGAATAGGAAGGAGGCTTAAGGTGAAAAGAGCCACTATGATATACATATCAATGTTGGTGTCATGTTCTTTTGAAGCCTGTAAGATACATATAATACCTAATAAAGCATGTCAATGGCTGAGATTATTTTCTTCACTTCACACTGCCATGTGACCTATGTACTACTCTTGTCACACAGGATAAACCCATGACTCTTCTTTGATGAGACTGTTCCAGACTTAGATATATGGCAATGGTATCAAATTTCCTATCTCTATCTGGCCTATGTGCCCTCTATACTAAGAAAGGATCTGCTTTTCTATTCATAGTGGTTGAAAATACAAGTAATAATAGTCATGCCACAAAGAATTACAGTGAAAACACAGGAGTCTGCAGGAGATAAGACCAACCAATCTGTCACTTGACTGCCCAGTGGGGTATTTAAAAGAAAAACCAATATGCCATCTGTAATCCTACCTACATAGAAAGCCATAAGAGAATCACAGTCTACGGCTGACCCTTGGGCAAAAATGTGAGACTCTATCTGAAAAAAAAATAACTAAGGCAAAATAAAGGCTGGGAGCATGGCTCAAGTGCTAGAACACCTGCTTAGCAAGCACAAGGCCTTTGGTTCAAATGCTAATACTACCAAAATAAACAAAAAGGCAACATATGCAATACTTAGAAGAACCCATAATCTTACATTTTAATGAAATAAAGCCTTTTAACTACAGTACTTTCTAGTGAATATATAAAAGTGATAGGAGTGACTTTGATCATAACTTGAATATCCTTTGTATAACTACTGAAAATAGTTTAAAAAGGAAAGAAAAGGGCTTGCCTAGCATGCATGAAGTCCTGGGTTCAATTCCTCAGCACCACATAAATAGAAAAATTGGTGCTGTGGGTCAAGTGGTAGTGTGCTAGCCTTGAGCAAAAAGAAGCTCAGGGACAGTGCTCTGGCCCTGAGTTTAAACCCTAGGACTAGCAAAAAGAAAGAAAGAAAAGAAAGAGAAGGAGAGAGAGAAAGAAAGAAAGAGAGAGAGAGAGAGAGAGAGAGAGAAAGGAAAGAAAGAGAGGGAGAGAGAGAGAAAGAAAGGAAAGAAAGAGAAAGAAAGAAAGAAAGAAAGAAAGAAAGAAAGAAAGAAAGAAAGAAAGAGAGAGAAAGAAAGAAAGAAAGAAAGGAAAGAAAGAGAGGGAGAGAAAGAAAAAAAGAAAGAGAAAGAGAGAGAGAGAAAGAAAGAAAGAAGGAAAGAAAATTGAAAAAAATTAAATGGTGTTCTCTTCTACACAGGTTTTGGTTTTTGGGGTTTTTGTTTTTGTTTTTGTTTGGAAGGGGATGGAGTTAGGGATAGAACTCAAGGCCATGCACATGATAGATAAACACTCTACCACTGGGCCCCATCTCTAGCCTTGCTGCTAGAAACTTACAATACCTAAGGATGTGGATCAGTGGTAGAGTACCAGACTAGCAAATGAAAGGCCTTGAGTTCAAAGCCCAGCACTGCCAAAGAGTCAGTAAATACTACCTTCAGGATCACCCAACATATGGTCTTTCTTTCTAGGTGATAAGGTAATTCCTTTCTTTGCACCTCAGTGTAAAAAATGCAAGTTCTGTCTGAGTCCACGTACAAACATTTGTGGAAAACTGTGGTAAGTTCTATATGCTGCTAATAGCAATGTAGATTACATAAATATTTTAACAATGGGTTAGCCATACCTAAATGGAGTTCAGAACAGGCAAACATTCTGTCCACTAATTCTACCTATAGTGTATCCCAGACACTGCTCCAAATATGCAGTCATATACTGTAATATTCATTGCAAAACTGTTTACAATAGCAAACAAAAGGAAGGTCTTATAATAGAATGGATTAACAAACTGCTGTATTGTGGCACAAGGGAAAACTACAATGAAAAGGTTTAAATTTGAAATATTCATATAAACATAGAACAATCTGATGTATATATAATATTTTTTCACACACATACTAATATTAGGGAAAAAGGAAGTAGCTGAAGAATATATAGTATATGATGTTATATAAAAATGCAATACATTGTTTATGTTTAAAAGTATATGCAGTAAAAGTAAATAGATATCACTGAGATGATAAATGGCAAATTCAGAACAGTATCTACTCTATAGGAATGAGAGTAGAATCATTTACTTCAGAATTTCATAGCTTAATGTCTCCTAAGAGCATGACTTGAGTCTAAATCTTAACCACCTTATTTTTATTTTACTGAAACCATAAAAAGACCTATTTGCTCTTAATGCTAGTTGAAGCTAGTTATCTCAGAAATTAAAAACTATAATACTCTTATGCCCTGCAGTTTGGCAGGCTATAAGCCATCTCCAGCAAAGTAAGGAGAGTATTTCAAAAGCAAAATACAAAGGAAAGGGCTGAGGTTGTAGTTCAAGTGGTAGGCTGCTGGCCTAACATGTGAGAGACCCTAAATTCAATCCTTACTACCAAACAAAACCACAACAAACACTATACAATGCTTGTACTACTTCTGTGCTTCAGTTTCCTCACCTATAACATGAGGATAGTAATAACATCTGATTTGCAGGGCTGTTATCATTGTTCAAAAAGCTAAAACCACACTCTTTTGCAAACCTTTAATGAAATAATAGATTTGGCAATGATGAGATGATCAGAATCTGTGTCCTTCCAGATGAAATTCATCACATTGCCTACCTCCTTCTCCCCAAAAGAAGATTTTAATTAGATCAAGTGTTTAGGTCCTAAGTGTTAGTTTAGGAGGAAACATGTTAACAGAAAAATATGTTAAACACAATTTCAGATACATCAGAAAAATTCCCTAGAAAGAACACTCAGACAAATGACTTGTTTTTAAAAAATTAAATTGAAAACCTAGGAGAAGAGAAGCTACCAAGAGACTTAGCAACCATATGTAATATGAAGAGCTAAAATAATCTTTTGGAGATATATACTGAAATAATTCAGTGTAGATGAAATAGTAATGTCTGGAATTCATATTAAAACATTCCATACATATTGTGGACAGCCTATGAGTTGATTGTTACTGAAGCCAGGAACAGACACACAGTCTTCATTATACTCTTCTATTTTTATAACTGAACTTTCCCCAATAAAAAAAATGTGAATTAATACATACCAATAATTCCACAAAAGTTTGTTGCTATGATCTTTAAATTTCATCCAAAAGACTATATATTACTACTTTAGTTTACCATTTCCTCCATGTGAATTCCATAAAATTGTCATGATAGATAATAACCAACATCTTTTTTTAAGTGAGCAGTATCCTATTTACTTTCTTCTTTGTATCTCTCGCCCCTCTCTCTTTTTAATTGTCTAGTGATTTTAAAACTCCTACTGCTGATCAAAAACTAATGGAAGACAAAACCAGCAGGTTTACCTGCAAAGGAAAGCCAGTTTACCATTTCCTGGGAGTCAGTTCATTCTCTCAGTACACTGTGGTGTCTGATGTCAACCTTGCCAAAATACATGATGATGCAAATTTAGAGCGTGCATGTCTGTTTGGATGTGGTTTTTCATCTGGCTATGGTGCTGCAATCAATACTGCCAAGGTAAATCATTAAAAGGTCCAAGGTATACAAACAGAGATTACTTGGAGGTAATGTTAAGAAGCCTGCATTAATTATCTTCAAATCTTGGCTATTTGTTTCTTACTTTGTGATAAATAATTTAAACTCTCTAGAAAAATACCCACTGGTAATACTTGTAAGAATAATTATAGCACCTGTGCAAAATAGCTGGCCTCCTAGCCGGTATAGGCTTAGCACCTGTTTCATGTTAGATGCTATACCAGCCTGCTAGATTATAAATCATCCTGATAAAGCCTGATCAAATATGTTTCATAGTATCTTATCTCAGGACAACGGACCCAAAAGGCAACAGAAACCATAGAAACCGTCAACATAACTATTCAGGCTCCTACTTCCTCCCTAATGCAGGGGATTTATGTTCAATCAATAATAATTTATCTTGGATTCCCATCCCTTTATGAGTACAAGTGACTGTATCTTCTGCCACTCCTGATGGTAGCAAGATATGGCTCTGGAATCCCACATTAGAAAAAAAATTTACCAGGATGTTTAAGCTAGATATGAGAGATATTGAGAAAGTTTCTCCTAAGCGAATGTCTCAAATGTTGCAGGGAAGACTTCCTCGACCTCTCAGATTCTTCATTGTCAGGCAAGGCATCTGGATTCCATTCCATCTTCTAAAGTAATCAGTTATCTGGAATCATAAGTGAATCAATCACGCCAGATCTAATTTTTAAAGGGCAAAAAATTACCTCCTTAAAATATGCGGACTTTGTTTTCTGACCACACTGAAAAGTAAAATAAGGGAAATATTTTTATTTGAAATGTTCTTTATGAACTGATCATCTTCATGGCCCTTAAATAATTCTCTAAACTTAGAAAGTAATGCACTGATTTTCATATTGGCAGATTTTTTTCATTGAATGTATCATATAGTTTTATAACAAGCAGTCTTAGGCTTGTATTTTGGAGTCTTCACCTCACCCTACCCTTTAAGAGAAACTAAAACTGTGGAGCCATCTGCTATAAAAGTTATACTCTATAATTTTTCTGCCTGCAGGTCACCCCTGGTTCTACGTGTGCTATCTTTGGCCTAGGAAGTGTAGGTCTTTCTGCTGTAATTGGCTGTAAAGTAGCAGGAGCTTCCAGAATCATCGTTACTGACATCAACAATGAGAAGTTTACTCGCGCCAAAGCCCTGGGAGCAACTGATTGTCTAAATCCTAGAGAGCTAGACAGACCCATCCAGGAAGTCATCATTGAAATGACCAATGGCGGGGTGGACTTTGCCATTGAGTGTATAGGAGGATATCAACACATGGTTTGTACATTTTTTTCCTTGTGTGTTTTCAATGTGTTCTTTAATCATCAAATGATAGATGAAGATGGGCTGCTTGTAGTTGGTATAATTATTCCTTCTTAATCTTTTCAAACAAAATAAGAACTGTCAGCCATAATTCATTTAACCATTCCCTCAGCCTTCCATGCCCACTGATATGTCCTGTATTCATCTTCTTTCTGTTACCAACAAGGAAGTATCTGAGACTGGGCACTTGTATAGAAAAGAGGTTTGTGTATGGTTATGTAGGCTAGAAGTCCAAACTGTACAAGGCTGTCTAAAGTCAGGATGGCTCTCAGGGCTGACAGCATCTGGGTGGGAATATGTATGAGGAAAAAGTCACATGGCAAGACAGGAAGCCAGACTGAGGATCTGGGCCAGTAACAATCACAAACTGGGCCATACCTCTTCATTTGAGATCCCTTTTAATTGCTCAATATAACATATTATTAGACTGAAAATAATTTTCAATTGTGTTTTCCACTTTCCTATTTCTTTTTTATTTACTTTTTTCTGATTTTCATAAGGTGGTACAAGAGGTTAAGATTTCATGGGTCCAGTGAGGTGCCCAGTACTTCTGTTCAGAGTCACCCTTCCATCATTCTTCCCCATCCCATCTGCTCTCTCTCACCAGGCTCATTTCACATTGCCTACTTTCTTTATCACATAGGAACAGTTAATAACTTGGCTGTATTTGTCCCCTGTCCCTTCTCCTTTGGGAAAAAAAAAGTCATTTTTGTTTTGTAGCTAGGTTGGCCTCAAGTCACTGTGTAGCCAAACTGGCCTTGAATTCACAATGTTCCTGGCATAATCCTCTAGTACTAGAATCACAGGCTTGTGCAACCACACTGGTCTGGTTTATTCATTTGTATCTGGCCAAGAAAATGCCCCTTTTGACTATTAAATAAAATAAGGTAAAATGTCAACTATAACACATAGACCATGAACAGAAGTTAATTGCTATAATGCCCAGCATTATTCTTCACCAAATATTCACCTAATATACATTTGCTCAAAGACACTAAACTGAGGGGAATTTTTTGTTTTGTTTGCTTTCTGACTTTTTATGAAATGATCAAATAACTGAAGAGAGTTGGAAGTATATATAGCTCAAGTGGTAGGGCAATTGCCTAGCAAGTGCAAGGACCTGAATACAAAACTCTAGTATAATACCCATACAGAAAGAAAATGAATTTATAAAAATGAATTATTTGTTCATGCATTCTTCTTGTTTCGTTAGTGGGAGTTACAAAAAGCAGTTGTGGTCAGGGACCAGAAGCTCAAGCCTGTGATCCTAGCTACTCAGGAGCCAAAGATCGGAGGATTGCAGTTCAAAGGCAGCCCAGGCAGGAAAGTCTGTGAGACGCTTATCTGCTCAAAAAAAGCCAGAAATGGTGCTGTGGGCCAAGTGGTAGAATGCTAGCCTTGAGCAAAAGAAGCTCAGGGACAGAGATGAGACCCAGACTTCAAGCCCCAAGCATGGCAAAAAAATAAAAATAAAAACTAGTTGTGATTTCATTCCTTTTCACTTATACCTTCATTCAGCCTGGTTCCTAAACACGCCTCTAAAGAAGAGATAAAGAATAAAATTCAACATCCCCAGGAGTGGACTTCGTAATGTGTCCAACCCTGAGTTTTATCTGACTGGTGCAATCCCTAGAAGAGAGAATGAAAACCCAGGAAGAACTGTGATGAGAACGATGTTCCCTAAAATATTATGTATTTCCACACTGGAGTTCATGCTCTGCTCTTCTACTGACTCTAGAAATCTTTTGTGTTTGACCCTTCAGAGAGCAGCTCTGGACTCCACATCAGTAGGTGGGGGAACCTGTACTTTGGTCGGAGTGAAGGCTGGTGACAAAGCACTGGACGTGTCTCCAGAGGAGCTAATAATGGGCCGTACTCTAAATGCAACATTCTTTGGAGGTTAGTATTTTTTTACCTTCATGGATTTTAATTTTCTTGGTAGCAGTATGAAATTGTTAGACTGGGCTGGGAAGGTGGCTCAGTGGTAGAGTGCTTGCCTTGCATTCATGAGGCACTGAGTTCAATTCCTCAGCACCACATAAGCAGCAAAAGCCAGAAGTGGTGCTGTGGCTCAAGTGGTAGAGCGCTAGCCTTGAGCTGAAGAGCTGAGGGACAGCGCCCAAGCCCAGAGTTCAGGCCCATGACTGACAAAAAAAAAAGAAAGAAAGAAATTGTTAGACTGAGGATTATTGAATCATCTGCTTAAAATTGAGAACCTAAAACATATCTGGAGAAAAACAAAGGAGGGGGCAACAATGCTCAACAAGAAATATACTCATTACCTTACTCCTGTAACTGTAATCCCTCTGTACAGCATCTTTACAATAAAATAAAAAATTTTAAAAGACTATATAAAAACTACTCATTATATGAAAGTAAATGGAATGTTCATAGAAAGATGATCACAAATGACATATTAAAATTCAAGTTGCATTCAAATGAACCAACATAGAGAAGCAGAAAGTAAACACTGACCTAATTGAGGTAATTCCCTATCCAGAGTAGAAAATAATCTTGTGTGTGTATATGTGTGTGAGTGTATGCAGGTATGTGCTTGTGCATGCATGCCAATATTGGGGCTTGAACTCAGGGCCTGGGCACTGTCCCTAAGCTTTGTTGCTCAAGATCAGTGCTCTATCACTTGAACCACAGCTCCACTTTCAGCTTTTCTTTGGTAGTTTAGCCCACAGAGTTTCCTGCTTGGCTGGGTTCAAACTGCGATCCTCAGATCTCAGTCTCCTGAGTAGCTCCTGAGTAGGATTACAGACATGAGCCACTGGCACCTGGTTTGAATATTTCTTATAAAGAAAAAACTAGAGATAAAAAATTAAAGCTATATAGAGAGTATAGAATATTAAAGGTGTACACAGAATTAAAGAGGAGAAGGTGTTTAATGTATTTGAAACTTGGGTTGCTTCAAACTGACCTAATATTAATTCATTTAACTCGCTTATTAAACTACTTCATGTGACATCTTTTTATTTGGTATTTTGGCCAAATTACAGGATGGAAGAGTGTAGATTCTGTACCAAAGTTGGTTAACGACTACATGAATAAGAAATTCAATCTGGATCTATTTGTGACCCACAACCTACCTTTTGACCAAGTCAATGAGGCATTCGACCTAATGAACCAAGGAAAAAGGTAAATCACTAGATAGATGATTGAGTAGTTTAGAAACCTTTGTGATGTCTTTTTTTAGTATCATGTAAGCCCTCACCATTTTCCTTTTCTGACTTTTCTTATTGTAATTTCTAAATGTGCTTCATCGACTAAACAATGGCCAGTTTGAGCTGGGAGGAGAGAGGGGTAGCTGTCAGTTCTGTAAGGCACCCTGTTACCTATAGTATGATGTGGAGCACTAGTACAAACTGGTGTGTGCTTGCCTTTCACCAGTGTTCACTAGGTGGCATTATCCCCTACAAGGAGAGGCTTCTCAATATAATGTTAGACCCCTCTGGTTCAGTGCACTCCTGAGTCTAGAATGCATATGTTCTGCAATTTGACATGGAGTGTCCACACCAGGCCCTACATGAACACGCCCTTTGACACCACAGGGATGTGAGCACACAGTGGCAGGTGTCAGACTGGTGAAGGATCCTTCGACTCTGTCATTATCTTGCTCTGACCCTTTCTGACCCACAATTTTAGCTATCAGGTGCTCTCTTGTCTTGGGTCCTAGGAACTGATTTATAGGCATGTTCCTACTGAACACTACCCTAGGAGTGGGATGTGGGTAAGATTAGGATCAATTATTTTACTTAAAATGTTCAAGCATAACCTTGATTGGTAGAAGTAAACAGTAAAAAAAAAAAATGAGGATTCAGGTTACTGATAGGAAATACAGGGCAAGGAGGAAAAGGAAACTTGAAGGCCTAGCAAGGACATAGGAGGAGCTTATGAGAAGGTAAAAATGACAGGAGTTCACAGAAGAGAATAAATGTTTTAGAAAAAGAAAACAGGTCTATGGTTTGAGTACCCAGGCTGTTTCACAGAGAAGAAATCTGAGAAAGCCACAACATAACAAAAAGTAGCTCTATCAAAAGAAAAGAAAAAATAAAGAATATCTTTAAACTATGCTATATAAACTTTATTAAGCTAACATAATAAGCCCTAAAATAATATGCACATCTCACTACAGCTCAGAATGTGTGTTCTTCAAGTTAGTAGTTGGGTCTGGGTTTGGAGCCTTATGCCTGAAGTTCATAGCTCCTCTACCATGACCCCTTAACCTACAGATCTCAGTCACAGACTGTACCACAGGGAATGCTAAGTGGGAGACAAATGGTAAATGTTCCATCACTTTATCAGTAAGTTGGCAGGTCTCCATTTCTGCAAGAAGGCTTCCCTCATAAGTAGCACTGAAGCAGAAGCCTATACTTCCTATTCCCTAGCTGGCCCCCAGATGAAACCACCTGATTGTCCACACAGATGGAAAAGTAGCATCAGGAAAGGAACTTAATGGTCCTCCCAGGTATATTCACCATTTGGGTACAGATGCTCTTTCCACAACTGCACAGAAGCAGGGAAGTAGATGGAGGGAGATGGGACACACATCTGTTTACCCTGGCTTGTGACGAGGAAAAGACTCAGTTTCTCCTACTACACAAAGATGTCACTTCCATGTAAGCATGGTACCCTGCTGATGTCAGGAAGTCTACAGTAATGTCTGAGATAAGGAATTCTCTGTCCTTGAGGCTTATCCCCTTCTAAATTCCCACACTTTGAAGTTATCAAGGATTGAAAACATCTGGGTTGTCAGAAAGTAGCATCCCAACACACCAAATTCCTCTCATGAGCATGTTTGCCTTGGCAAAGGGAAAGCCAAGAGCAGTGACTAGCCTCATTCCTCCTTGGTATGCCCTACTCATCAACAGCACCAGAAGGCAACAGGAACTCCACAGCTCAAATGAGATCCCAATTTCCTAAATGACTATGAAGAAAGATTAGACCAAACGCTGAACTGAAAGAGCAAATATTACTTGTGGGCTTTGGGTAAATTGTTCAGGTAAATTAATTTATTATTGCTTTATTTTTATTAACAGCATCCGAACAATTCTGACCTTTTGAAGACCCCAGGAACAATTTAGAAGATATGATTGTCTGATTAATATGATAAATCAAGGAAAGTATGACTTGTAAGAAATAGTCTCAGTTAATATCGCAGCATAAAATAGCATTTAATAATAGAAGAATCTCACCCAGGCCCAGAGTTCAAGCCCCGTGACTGACAAAAAAAAAATTGGGAGATATGAGTGATACAAGAAATTGATTTTTAAAAAAGATACAAAAAATAGTAGAAGAATCTGTAATCATAAATGTCTTCAGGGCTGGGAAGGTGGCTCAGTGGTAGAGCGCTTGCCTTGGATGCTTGAGGCCCTGGGTTCGATTCTTCAGCACCACATAAGCAAAAAAGAAAAAAGCCGGAAGTGGCACTGTGACTCAAGTGGTAGAGCGCTAACCTTGAGCTGAAGAGCTGAGGGATAGCGCCCAGGCCCAGAGTTCAGGCCCCACAACTGGACCCCCCCCCAAAAAAAACAAACAAAACAAAACATAAATGTCTTCAGACTTACCTGTGTTAACAATGATAGCAAAAGTGTTCAAGAATAGACTCACACGGTGTCTAGGAATTGTCTAAAACTAGTTTTGGGGAGAAAGAATGCAGGAATAAATAAACCTGGATTTTTATGTTTATAATTTTTAAGTTCACTAATGAATATATGGAGGTTTATTATACTAATCTCTTCACTTTTCTCTATGTTGAAATTTTTCTATAAAATAAAATCTTACTGGGCACTGTGCTCAAGTGGTAGAGTGAATGCCTTTAGCTGAAGAGCTCAGGGACAGTGCCCAGGTCCAGAGTTCAAGCTCCACAACTGACAAAAAGTAAAAAGAAAAAAAATCTTACTGGAAAGTATCACTATGTTTATCACTATATTGATCATATGCATATATAAAATACTGTTATATGATTTGTATTCCAATAAGCCAAAGGCACTCTTTGTAAATAAACTGCCAGATTTTTTCCTTTTTAATCTGTGTCATCTTCTCATGTCCCCACTACTATAACCAGAAGTAATGAGATGCCAGAACCTATATTAATAAAAATTTATTTAAAGAAAAATGAGTCTATACTCTGAAAGTTGTTTCCTAAAATATCTTCCATTTTATCTTTGATAATTATCATAACTGTAATGTGTAGTGCTTTGCAGATCACTCTTACTATATTCAACTAAAAGTAACAAAGAACAAAGCAAGTTGGTCTCCAGTGGCTCACATTTGTAATCATACCTACTAAGGAAGCTGAGATTTGAGGATAAGGGTTTGAAGCTAGCCCAGACAGGAAAGTCTATGCGACAATTAACCACTAAAAGCTAAAACTGGAACTGTGGCTTAAATGGTAGCATACTAGCCTGGGCAAAAGGCTCAGAGACAGCACACAGGTCCTAAGTTCAAGCCCCAAGACAAACACACACACAAACCAAAAAGAACAGTGCATTACCATAAAGTCATATAGAGGATGAAGACATTTATGATTTTATAAGATTCAACAGTAAGACTAATGTAGGAGGAGCAAGTCTGACTTTTCTCTTACCATGATAGATGTTAGAATAGCTGCTCACAAAAGAGTTACATAATTCAGGTCAGAGTAAAAGTTACTAGCTTCCAACCTGGAGTAGTTGCTTAAATCTACCTGTTTTCTTTAAAACTTGTCTACATTTTGAACTCTGAGAGAAAACCATCTCTGAAGTTTTAGCTGATGTGAGTAGTAATAACACAAAGCAGAAACTCACATTGCTGCTTAGTTAAGATTTTATTTCTTTGGAAATAGAAGCCAGTTCATCTGTAGATGCTGCTTGTGTTGGTATTATGGAGACTAAGATGTACCCTGCCATTGGTTGCCTTTCTCACACTATTCTCTGGGTGGTAGTCTTCTCTCTCCTCATCCTCTGCCTCTTCTCCTCTGCTTTTTTAAATTTCCTATGATCAGTTTGGGATTTACCTCTTCTTCAACTCCTCTCAGCCATAAAGCTACTTTCATGACCTGATATGCTTTGACTTCTTGTCTCTTTGCTAAAGCATATGCTGATTTTGTAGTTTTTCATTTGTTTGTAAACTCCTTGAAATTAGAACAATCTCTACATTCAAACACACTCTGTACACACTTCTTAATATCAAAAGTTTATCCTCATGAATGTGTAAATAGTTCATAGTTTTTAGAATAGAATTTTTCTAATACATTTTCCATATCAAAACTATGAAATTTTCAGGGAAAAAATAATTAAATACACAAAATAATCAGATTCTGAATTTTCTGGATCTGAAATTATTACACATATTTAAGCTGCAAAGGTGCACAAAATTGAACCACCAGATTGTTTTCAAAGTGTGCTATAGCTCCCTCTTGTAATTCTTCATTTCTTCATCTCCTAGATGCTATCTTCTCCATTCCTTGTAATTACTAGGCTTTCTGGTTCATGGCTGTTCACAAAGAGCACTCTACCATTCGCTGGAGCAATGCCTCCAGTCAAGCTTTTCGTTGGATAGTTTTGAGGATGGAGTCTCAGGGATATGGCTGCCCAGAATGGCTTTGAACTGAGATCCTCCAGATCTCAACCTCCTCAGTACCTAGAATTATAGGCATAAGCTACTGGTATCCAATGCTGACATTTTAATGAGCACTTTCATGTATTATTTCTTCTGCTCCTCAAACATTTTTAACTATGCCATAAGCTGCCTTTGAGGTTTTCCAGCTATTCACCCAGAGACAGGCAAGATAGAATTTATTCACATTATTGAGTGAAACTTGTATTACAGGAAACACACTGTTTTCTAACTAGCCTATGGAACAGGCCTGAGACTGTTGTTGTCATTATGAGAACAGGAAGGAAGGAAGGAAGGGAGGGAGGGAGGGAGGGAGGGATGGAGGGAGGGAGGGAGGGGGGAAGGCAGGCAGGAAGGCTGCTGAAGGGGTAGTAATTTCACTCTCGATAAAAATAAAAAAGAGGGGGTATGGGAAGGAATGGGAAGGGGAAACAAAGGAGGAGGCAACAATGCTTGATAAGAAATGTACTCATTATCTTGCCCATGTAATTGTAACCTGTCTGTATGGTATTTTCACAAAAAAATTAAAAAATATAATGGTAAAGACCCTTTATATCCTGCCTCAGGATATTATCATGGAAAGATACTGCAGGCTAGAGCTACAGATGTCTTGCAACTACTGTGGGAAAGATAAAGCCATGGCAGAAACTAGTGTCATGGAGCAGCACTTTTGCCACTCTCAAAAATCATGGTAGATCAGATAACACTACTTGGCAAACTGATCCTGCTGCCTGACAAGCGAGGGTGCCTACTTTGCCTCTCTTGCCTCGCTAGTTGGTCATGACTAACCCAGGATCTGGTACCCTGGGTAAAACCAGACAGCCATCTCAACCATAGCATCCTACCAACCCAGAGAGAAAATTAGTCACCACATTCTTCCTCCACAATAGGTTTCCCAATACTTGTGTGAATGTTTACTTTTTGCTCTTTCACCTTCCCCTTAAGGAAGAAGTAAATGGAATAAGTGAGCAGATATAACATGGCAGATTATTTCCAGCATTCCTCTTCCTTAGTAATCATTTTTCTTTATACTCGTTCCTTTACATTATCACCAGAAGATCTGAGAGCTCAACTTCATTCAATGTGCATTAGTGAGGTTGTGTTTCTATGTATAAATAGATTATTTTAACCATTCATGTTACAGCTGTGCCACAAAGCACCCACAGCGCTCCTAATATCACCTAAAATTATGTTCTGTCCTTGAATTCCCACAGAAATTATTCTCACAAAAACTGGTCAGATTTTTTTTCTATATGCATTATCAAAATATACTGCAAATTATGGTAGTTAAGCTGTCTCCTTTCAGAATTAACTTGTAATTACTCTTCAAAACTTAATCTATTTTACAGGCGTGGAGAAATAAGGGATAATGATGGATAGAACATGAGGGCTTAGCTTCTTCTAATACCTCTAATACTCCTTTTGCAGTGGTAAAATCCATGGGCAAGCCTTGTTAAGAACAGAATTTCCTGGCACATTTCAAAATGGTTGCTTTGAGGGCTGGGAAGGTAGTTCAGTGGTAGAGCATGCATGAGGCCTGGGTCTGATTCCTTGGCACCACATAAGCAGAAAAAGCCAGAAGTAGTGCTGTGGCTCAAGTAGTAGAGTGCTCAACTTGAGCTGAAATGCTCAGGGACAGCACATGAAGCCAGTGTTCACGTGGGGTCAGTGTTCACACCACCTAACTGACAAAAAAAAGTTGCTTTCCAACTCCCCATAGGAAAGGGATGAGATTTTTCTCCAATCTTCACTGTGAGGACTTACGGAGGTGACACTTATGAATCATGAGAGCCTGCCCTCCTCCATGAATAGGTCCCCTGGTGGTTTTTAACTTTCCTCTGATCACAAGTAGACTCTAGCTGTTCATCATTTACATTGCAACTCCAGTACTGGTCCCAGCAGTGATGTGTTTTTACCTCAGGTAAATATGATTGTTTGGAACCATCTGCCTCTCTAATTTTGAAGACAACAGTTTCCCCTGTGACCTCACTTCTCTTACAGATCTAAGAATTGTTATTGAATCAGTTCATTCAGCCTTTTACTGGAGAGATTGTACTAATCTCCTTACATGTCAGACCACAACCAGCAGTACCATAAAAGCTCAATGGTCTCTTTCCAGAAGATAAATGATGTGTCTTCAATAGGAAAAAGAAACATAACTCACTGCTAAAAGGTCTATCATTAGAATTTTTTCCCACATCCCAAGCAGAAGTACCAGAATATACAAGAAAGCAAAGTCATTTGAAAGAATGACAAATGTTCTACAGAGGGACTTGTCTGGCAGAATAGCAGGAAATAAGAACAGAATGAGGTGATTCAGGGCTGACTAGGCTAAGGACAGAGTTTAGATTTTATCTCTTAGTCCATGAAGAATTTAAAGTAGAATAGTGACATTTTGTTTATAACACAGCTCACTCAAAAACTTTAAGCAGAAAAAAGGACATGGCATCAATTAACATGTTTTAGAACATTTAATAACGCATTAGATTTTAACGGTCAGTCATCAAGTACCTCAGATAGAAGGCTCTTTCCACAACCCTGCAAAAAA